AGAAAATTTAAGCTTGAACTAGTAGGTTGGCGTCCTTCCGTCCTTCACTGAATTACTAACATTCTGCTGCATTACAGAAAGGATCTGAACAAATTATAAAGAAACAGGTACTGCAGATGTGTTGGCTGCCACTAAACGATGACTGTTGAGGGTGAGACTTCTTTGGATTCTAGATACTTCACGTGCTTACTTTGGCCAAAATACTGTCGTTTATTTTGAAAGAAAGTTCACGATTGGTTGAACGTTGCAAGTTCACTTGTTGGAATCATTTGTACGCTCACATATGTAAGCCAGCAGAACTTCCCGTTTTCTGCAAAAAAGCCAGGTTTCATATAATTTCGTAAAAGGTAGACAACAACACTAGGATCAACTAACAAGTCATTCACCTATCGTGCCGTCGATCATCAGTTCGCTCGAGCGTTCGCAGCCGACATCTTCATTCTCAAAATCAAAACCATACGCCGGAAATTTCTCCTCGAAATCCTCTTCCCGGTTTTTGCCAACTTTCATTTTCTTGAAAAAAACGTTCCTAAAGTTAAGATACTCACGGATACACTTGTTCTACCCAACTCTCACACTGTAGCACCAAAATTGACAAACTCTCGAATACATTTGTTCACAAAGGATTAGAGGGGAAGCTGTTGTTAATTCTTGAAATCTACATTGTATCTTTTTCGTCTGGCTCACGAAGGCAGCTCAACTTTGACACTTACAGCGTGTAGTCTACTTGGTGAATCACCTGTGTCACCTGTCAACCCGTTGATATCTATGCTTCCTCGAGCGGCCGCCAGTAACGTCTCCATTCGTCCCTCTCACGAGCTAGAGTGGTTCTGTGAATTGTCCTCGCCTCAGGGACACGAGGCCTAGTATTCCTTTCATCTAGAGCTTTCGCGAAGAGGTCTGACCGTCTCGTTGGCGACCATCCTGGTGTTCGCTTGACGTTCCGCGGGATCCAGTTCGTAACCACCAAAGTCCAGCGATCTCCACTACCACCAAGAACGGCTTCCTTTAAATCTCGGCATAGTACAAACGTTCGTTTTCTCTGCTTGAACTCGGACGTGTTCGAAAAAAACTCTTGACTTCGGCTTACGTTTCAGCGTGATCGCGTACTCCAGAGCCTGGGAAGATCGAAGCAATTTATGACTACCCGACCAAACGCCTCAACTACCCTACGGAAATTTGATACCTCAGAAGTCATCATGCAGTTGTAAGTTGGGCCACTTACCGCAGATTACTCCGATCCTCACGATCACTTAGAAGCCAGCAGTGGTCCAGTAAGCTGCTCGGATTGGATGTGATTCAAACTTACTGGTGGAAGGCCAACCTTATATACGGCCTCAGCTCCCGCGCGATTGTGATACACTCTTCCGTCCGGTTGATTTTTGGCCTAGTGAGCTGGATCCAGAATGCCTCGAGGGTTTTTCTGTGGACGCGGTCTCGCGCCAAGCCGTCGGCCGTAAAGTAGGTTTCGTAATGAGTATCCACCCTGTGGACGCCTGAAGCAGTTGACATGCGTGACCTGACCTTGCCCTCTGACAAGGAAGGTCTTCCAGGGCGTGGGACGCTTTTTGCATGGTATAGGGGCATGAGCACTGAATATAAAACTGTGGTCCATTTCCGCTAAATGGCCTTCTGAATGCCAAAAAACGACTGAAAA